AACGAGATCATTCCAGTCCTGTGGCATCAACAATGCTCTCGATGGAACTGATGATGTGGTTTGGGACGATGAGGAAGAAGCTGAAGAGCCAATTTACCCATTGAGGAAAGATTACTCTTCTATAATGCCCTTATTAAGCCGGTCATGATGTATGGTAGTATAGTTTGGACCTATTGTTCTAAGGAAGATCTCCTGAGAGTGTTTCGGTTGCAGTAACGTGCAGCACGTGTAATATTAGGTACAGGTATCAGATCAAGAACTGTGGAAAATTTTAAGAAACTAAATTGGATCCCATTCTATGATGAAGTCAAGATAAGATAGTGCGTGTTAATCTAGAAGGGACTGCATGGGGAATCCCCCACATATATTGAAAGTACTTTAACTACAAATCACTCCCTGCATGGAAGAGAGACCAGGCATGGCCAGTATAACCTAATCTGTCCCAAGTATCGAAATACTACTGAGGTAGGAAGGTCTTTCCAAGTTAGTCGTATTAAGTTATGGAATAGTCTTCCAAATGAGCTTAGGAAACAACGTAGCATCTCCTCTCTTAGGAATGATTTGATGAATTATTTTATAAATTCTTATAGAGACATTGATTCTTTTGAAGCTGTATTATAATCTAGTTTTATTGTACTTATAATCTTTGAGTAGTTACATTGTTCGACTAGTTAGTTCTATTTTTAATCTCTATGGCTTAGAATGTATTACTTGCTAACTTTAGTTTTGAGGGCCACTGGTTTATCAGCACAAGCTGTTATGTGTATACCCTCTTTAAATAAAGTCGATTATTATTATTATCATTATTAAAGAGGAATATATTTATTTATGAAATCTGTAAAATGCACCATGGAAATCTGTGTTTTTGTTTGTTTTGATCTGAGTCCGCAGAAGGGTTGCATTATTATCATTTTCCCCCGTCCATACTCAGCAAGTTTTTGCTAATTTTTCAACATCCTAGAAGATCCCATTTTGTATGATGCATAATTTACAGTAACTCAATTATTATCTGTTGTAGAGCTCTTGATCGCACAGTCTCCTTCTTTTGGTCGACCAACTTCAACAACATTATCAACCCTTCCATCCTTTGTGGAATTCAAGACTGGAAAGGGAAAACCCTGTAACAAAGAGCTCTCTAAAGGTAAAGGAAAGGGGCCAAAACTAAAGGAAGAGAGTCCAGATGTCACAATTCAGATTGGGTTAAAAGTATTTCGATGCAATGATGAGAAACTTAAGGAGAAGAGAGGGAAACGACTTAGTGTTCAAGTAAAATGTGATGCTAATTACAAACCGTTGCTGGACACTGCACAAAGAATGTGGAAAACCTACCATAAAGATCTGTGTGATGAAGGTACTGAGTACACATTGATTCTAGAGGATAGCCAAGAGGCTTGTTTTATGTTTGGCAGTCAAGCAGAATTCTTTCAGCTTAACAAGTACAAGGAAGCTATCATGAAAGACTACAAACGGATAACATCATTTTTGTGTACTGTAGAAGACTTGAAAGGGTCTGAAATTGATAGCGAAGAAGAGAACGAGACAAGCCATCATTGTGTAGAACCACCACCTAAGAAGAGAACATTTGATCCAACAGCTTCTACAAGTACAAGTGGTATTTGTGATGCTTCTTCAGGTGCAGTGCAAGCAGCTACTAAGCCACAAACAAATTCATGAAAAGATCAAGATAACTGGTTTTACTGTGATGAATTGGACAGACTGTACAGTGTCGACAGTCCGCTGCCTGATCTAAGTGCCAAACATGACCAAATTACAAATGTAGATTGTGAAGGGGAAGTTGTAGAGACGCTCAGAGCAAAAGTTGTTATTGATGGTAAAACCTCTATTCATTGTGATCAGAAGGGGTGCCTCAGTAAGTAGAGCTATAGCTCTATGGCAGAGAGCTACCCTAAAAGTGAATCCCATCCATGTGTGCAGGATTAAGTTTATCGGTGAAGATGGCCTTGATGATGGCGCATTGGCTAGTAAATTCTTTTCGGCCACTATCCCTGCTATAGGGAAAACATTTTTCCCTCATGGCAGTCCAATGTATTCAACAAATGATGTTTCTACTTATAGGACAATAGGTGAAATTGCCGCTGCCAGCATTGCTCAAGGAGGCCCTGCTCCAGGATTTTTGGCTCCTTCTGTGTTTGATACTCTTGTGTCAGAAGACATCAACTATTCCAGCAAAGACCTTTGCAAGCTGTTAACCAAGAATGAACAACAGATTCTTGAGAAAATCAAAAAAGATGTTGCTAATAGCCCTTTTTACGGTTCCCGGTGCCATATTGAATGTGTAACCGCGCAAACATGATAGCGAGGTTAGTGTTGAGTCGCCTTGCGAGTTCTAGTGAGATTTTGTTGAATTGTGCTGGTGCTTTGTCCTTTTCATTGAGATATTTCGACAATGAACGATACTTTCCCTACGCAGGATATTCCTCCTTCTTCTTCGAAAAGAAGAGGGAGACACTGTGCCGCTTTTGGCTGTGCTAATAGCTATTATGACACAATAGGCAATCCAACAGGTCTGCATTTCTTCTCGTTTCCGAATGACGTCCAGCAGGGAATTAGATGGTGCAATCTCGTGAAGTGCCAGCGTGGAAAGGACGGATTCTTCATCACAAAGTCAACTTTTTTGTGCTCGGAACATTTTAAAAAAGAAGACATGCGAAAAACGTTGGCAGGTCGCTGGAAATTGGTGAGAGGTTTGTAATGTTTGTATGGTTATTTTGTTGCTTGGATACCGAAAGAAAATGCCTGCTTTGATTTTCGGTATTGTAGTGTTTATGCTGGGATATTTTTCTCCTTATTAAAAAGGTGACATTTATATTTATTTTTGCACTGTGGTCTTATACGATATCTGTGAACTGAATGTAAAATTATAAGTTTAGAAAATGATGAGTTTTATTATTATATATAGGGGCAGAGCCATCTCGATTTAACTGGTCAGTACCGAAAAAAACACGGAAAATGCCTGCTAAAAGGGTCCCAGTAGCAACTGTGACAACTCAAGAGGAGTCATTTGAAGTTGAGCAGGAAGTATTTCACCAAGAAGTTGAAGCACCTGTGTCAACTGTCTGTGCTGCTTCATCTTCACCAGCCTTGGAAGAATCAGATGTCCTTAAGCTGCAACGGGAAATGGAGCTGCTGCAAGTACAATTAGCTGACTTGAAAGAAAAGCTAAGTGAAGTTGAAAGTGAGAGGGATATTTTATTGGCATGTCAGTTTTCAATCGACAAAATTAAAGATGATGAGTCTGCGGTTCTATTTTATACTGGATTCCCAAACTATGGAGCACTCATAAGCTTCTATAATTTTATTGAACCAAAGCTGGCAAAGATGCAGTACTGGAAAGGAGAGAAATTGTTGAAAGAGAGTCAGCCATACCAAACAGATGATAACAGAA